CCATTAGTATGTTTAAGAAATCCAAAATTTACTTCTTTGGGTATTTCAGAATCTCGATATACCATTCATTCATTCCGTAATTGATAATTTTCAAATAGATTGTAAAAAACTAACATTTCTGCTAGAATCCGAGAACGAGTCGTTGCAAGAAAAAGTGTGTTAGTATTATATCATCTATCCCATAGGTTTATTAGATTTGACAACAATTTAAAGGTCGGCGCAGTCACGAAATACATATAAATTTGGTTTTATCTATTGAGATTCAACTTTTTAAAGACTCTTTTGTACCGTTGCAGAATACAACTGTGGTGAGATTTGCTCTAGCGTGTTTGGTTGTTGAGCTTATTATGTGACATCTTCGTGCACCATGCATAATAATAATATGGGGCGCAACAAGCAGAAGTGATTGGCTGACATTCATCATTTTTGAATTAATGATAAAGTCAACAACATAGATCAAAGATTATAGAGGACCGATCAAAACTATGTATGGTCTCATACAAAATATTTTCTGCTGATCCTAATATAACGTAATTTTATCAATAAGAAATAGATAAATTCCAAATAAACTTCTATTGAAATTGGTACAAGGGTAGTTTATATAACTTGTGTTTTACAACTAGATGTCAATTTTTTTTTGATTTGTTTGTTTACCAAAAAGTTTTACGATGCTCAATCATAAAAATTACGTTAAAAATGTTTTAAAATAAAATCCAAGTGCTCAATCTTTTGAATGCTAAGATAATGAATGAACTACAAGATCTACAGGATATTCAAATTGCCAAACAATTTTTTAAAAAAGTTAGTTCATCGATAACATTTAAGAAATGCATGTGAACTTTTTGCAGATTGTTAATTGGGCTCCTTTACTATAAAACCTATATAAAAACAATCCATTGAGTTGGATGAAGCGGACCTTTCCTTGGTTCCCTTCATTTTGTGTATGTGCGCATTAAAGACGGGAATCGCAATCGGCTACAATTCAATTTTCGTATGTCATAATTGGTTGCAACTAGTCGCGAGTCAATGGTCACGCAAAACAAGTATATGATAAGGGATCTTACATAATTAATTAATTACCCATCGCTATATAATGTAAAAAAGATGCAATATAATATCAAGATATCAATAAAAACAATATCTTTGATAGCATATATTCTTCGGAACCGTGTCAAATATTACTTCTGAATACATATTAATCTTATTATTAATATATTTTTCGCGTTTTGTATTCTGACTATATAAAGAGGTATACTGATGATTATTATTGAAAAGCAAGACAGATGGTACACGGGAGTTGGCAGAAAAACAAACTTTAAAAAATGGCTGTATGATTTTTATTAATTTTTCAAATAAATCATAAAACAAATTCATTATAAAATAATAATTTTACTTAATGATTTTTTTTCTTATAGTACGAACACATCGAAATCATCACTTGGAGGATACTAGTGTTGGTCGCCAAAACTATTTTGAAGAGATGAAAGTCAAAACTAAAATTAAAAGTTACATGTCAAAACTAAAAATCAAAAGTCCAATAGTCAAAAAACAAAACTAGTTTCGACTTGTGGCGAAACCTTTTGACTTTTGCACGGTTGCGAAACTCTCGAGTTTTGGAAACCAACACTAGAGAAAATTTAATAAATTTAATAAATTTTCGAGATCCACTTATGGTACCTGTAATAGAAAATTTTGGAACAAAGGTTTCATCCTGTTGCTCAATATTTAAATACTCACCTGCTAAAATTTAATCATCAAACGGGTTGATTAAATCTTTCTTCCAAGTTTCCAGGTAAAATTCCAGTACAATTTTTTATTACTGTTGACGTTATATTCTTCACGCTTTTTTGATAAAACAAATAGCATCATATATTGTGAATGGAGCAACTACTTTTTCTAATATTTGAGCTGTCTCATCATTTTTTTTTTTATATATTACGCTTTAAAAGAATGAACAATACGGTTGTAAATGACTAGAAAGTAGTATTTGATTAAAAAAAAATTTTACACTTTTTTACATTGCATTATCGACCAATAATAAAAATTTTTTGAAGATGCATTTTTTTATCGGATAATCAATCATTCCATATACTGACAGACTTGCATCTTCCAATAAATTTTTTATCAAGTGATCGAGGAGGATTTTATATTTAGAATTGTTTACTCGTATGATGTTGCTATATTCTTCACATGGAGCAAATCAATCTTAAGTTGACAAAATTTTTGATTAATTCAGATCAGAATAATGTATTATACATCTTTCACAATTGAGAAATCATTACCAAAAAAATTAATTTTTATTTTTTATTTCATTCACTAATTAAATAAACAAACAAAATCTAAAATTTAATTATCTAAATTAATATAATAATAGATGAAAATTTTTAACTTTTATAAACATCAATTTTCAATTTGTTTAATAGTTCAGTTGCTTTTGGGTGTTTATCTAAAGCAGCTAATTTCAAAAAATTAATTCCTTTATTTACATCTTTAGGAGCTCCAAGTTTTCCATTATAATACAAATCGCCCAAATTAAATCTGGCTGTTGTATTTCCATTATCAGCAGATAATGTAAGATACCTAATAAATAAATCTTTATCAAAATTTTTATTATTCACCAAAGAAAATGCATAACGTAATTGAGCATCACCACTTCCTTCATCAGCAGCTTCATGAAATAATTTAATGGCCTCTGCTTTATCTACACGACCACAATATCCTTCATACATATAATACCCCTTCCAATACTTAGCTAATGGGCTTCCTAATTCAGCATGAGCATTAAAACAAGCCCAAGCCTTTTCCCTATCTCTGTTTTTATGTGCTTTCAAACCTTCTTCAAGTGGAATAATTTGTTGAGGTTTATTAATTTCTTCAGGTTTTGACAATTTTTTTTTATCACTAACAGAAACAGAATATTTACTGCATATTACACTACCATCTGGATTCAATCTTTTTTTTGAAATGGGGTGTTTTCACTACTTTTACAATAAGTTTTGGCCAATTGATTCAGTTGAAAGAAAATTTGTTGAAGGGATAACCTTATTGTGGGATCATCTTGCCAGGCTTATCCAGGATAATAGAATAATGGAAAACATTATGCCCATATTAATTTATCTAAAAATTAAAAACTAAAAAAAAAAAATAATTTTGACAACTTACCACCCACAAAAATATTTGAATATTCTCTTTGTAGTTTTAATATTTCTTTATTTGAAGGATCATAAGTAATCCTTTCTCTTTTTCCACCTAATACATATTCTCTAATTTGTGACATATTCGATCTTCATAAGGGATTCTTTCAAATCCAAGCTCCCAAAGTAACATTCCAAAGCTAATTGTAGTATTTTTGATCCAAAATAAAATACATAAAATAAAATAAAAATAAAAAAATGAGAATATCATGATATGCATTATGGATATCATGTAATAAATAAAAAAAAAGTTTTTACCTAAATATTTCACACTTAAAATTATAAGATTGTCCAATACCATGTAACAAATTTTCTGGAGCTAACCAATGCACAACAACTGTTAAATTTTTCAATTCTCTAGTATCACCTTGAACATCATGAGCACAATCAAAATTTGTAATTTTTGGTTCCTTTTTTTTAGTCATCTGATGTTTTTAAATAAATAAATAAAATAAATATTATTTTAGATAAATAATAAATGAAGTGTATATATATATAATGTCTTTTAATTACCACAATATTTCCACAACGTATATCATGATGAAGTATTTTACATGAGTGTAAAAATGTAAGTCCACGACAAATTTCAAGAGCTATTGATACTTTGTTGGGCCAACCAATATCATAGTTATTATAAACATCATCCAAACTGCCCATTTCTGCCCATTCAAGAACCATAACTGTTCCATCATCAACTGTAGAAAGACCATAGAATCTTAATATATTAGTTGAATCATGTAATTTTCCCAAAATAGCTAGTTGCGTCTGAACAATTTGATAATCAGCTGGTAGATTGGTTTCATCAGGAATTGTTATAGGCTGACAAGCAACTTCTATAGTATCATTTAATATTTTTTTACAAAGAAGAGGTGCTTTTTTTCCTCGAAAATCAGTTTTTTTTGGATACAAAGGCTCTTGTAAATTAGTTGGTGATATTTGAGCAGCCTTTATAAGATTAGTATTAGATTCTTGACTCTCTTTTGATTCTACCTGAGTTTTAATGATAAGTACTTCTTGCAGAGATGTGTTCATTTGTTTTTTATCAACAACAATTCCACCATCGATTGATTCCCAAAACTAAATTTTTAAAAAATATGTATAGTGTAAATAAACAAAATTGGTTCTATAATATGCATGTATAAATAAGTTTTTAAACCTTTTTCATTTTTTCATGATCCTCATTTAAACTTTTTTGATCAATTAATCTTTGGTCTTCTGGAGTGACAATCATTTTAAATTTTAAATTGTTCATGACAGTATCAACTTCTCGAGTAAGATTTCCAAACATTTCTTCGAAATTTTTTGCTGAATTGTATTTACTATATCCAGAAAGATGAGTAATATCCTTGAGAAATGTTTTTATTTCTGATAATACAGTGGTAAAACGTACAAAATACTTGTAATAATTTTCATCACGAAAAAGGTGTTGATTTTCTTCTTTTTTACGTTCTAGAGTTTTAATGTAAGCTAAAGCAAAATCTACACGATCTAAAAATACATTACAAATATTTTTATTATATTCTGCATTTTCAAAAATTTCAAGAATTTGTTCCATCACAGCATTTGATGTGGCTATTAAAGGAATAAAAGGTTTAAATGCTTCTCCCACAGAATCAACAATATTATGTAATGATTTATTCATTATTGGTGTGAAATGTAAATCTTGCATAACAGTATCAAATTCTTTGGCAAGTGGTTCAAAAGTTTCTTTAACATTATTTGCATTAATAGATTTTTCATATCCATGAAGTTCAAGAGAACCTTTTACTTTCTTAAAACATCAGTGAAATGCACAAAATTTTTATAATATATCTCATCCTTTGTATATTCTTTTTTTTGTTGTAAAGCTTTAACTGATGATTGAGCAGCTTCTACACGATCAAGGAAAGCATTGCAAATGTTTTTATTATATTGAGCAGTTACTACTACATGATCAAGGAAAGCATTGCAAAATTCTCCACTATATTGAACATTTTCACAGACTTTAATTATCTCCTCCATCAAAACAGTTACTATGTCTATCAAAGGAGTCAAAGGCTTAACAATATCTCCAATAATGTCAACAGCACCAATTGCTTGTTTGGTTATATCTAAATTACTGCTAATTGAATCAACAGATAAGACCTTTATGTTGGCTTTTTTTTTTTTCAAAATCATAAATTGACACATGCTTATTGCAGGTTTGGGAATAAATCCAAGGTCATAACTCACAGTCTTTTTCCAATTCCTTCCATCTTGAGATGAAATTATACAGATCTTCCAATTATTCCATTCTCCATAAAAATATGTTAAATAAAGTTCATTATCAAAATTTTCTAATAAGAAGGAGGAATGTGAAATATATTGAGGATTAGTCATGTATGGTTTATGCCAATTGTTTCCATCATCAGTGTATGAAATATTTATTTCATATGAAGATCCTACATGCACCATATAAAGTTTATCCTTAAATGTTTTCAAAGCAACAGAAAAATGTGTATATAAATCCAAGTCAGTTGCAAAAGGATCAATCCAATTGATGCAATCTTTAGAGTATGAAATAAATATTTTATAATGTTTGCCTTGTTTTTGTTTTTTCACAAAAGCTAAATAAAGTTTGTCCCGAAATGCTGTTAAACTTGCAGCACCATCAATGTTCCACTCAAATTTTTGGATAGAGTTCCAGTTATTCTCATTTTCATCAAAAGACAGGAAGATCTCACCCTCATTTCCTATATAAGCCATGTAAAGTTTCTCATTAAATATCTCAAAGCTAATGGGTAGTGAGCTATGATAAAGTGTTTTGATATGTTTCCAATAATCTATATCATCGGTAGAAGTGATATATATATACACTCACTGGTCATAAATATAAGTACACTTGCAGATCATTGGAAATAATTGAACAAAGAAACATGAAAAAAAATAAAAATTTTATTAACCTAACCGCATTTGCTTATTAAGTAAAAATTCATCGCCATATCAAATAGTATAGCATACTGAAGTTTCGCTGCATATAAACAACAA